GAAAGAAGATGGAGGACCGAGGGCGTCCCGTCGATAGGCTCCAAGTTTATGGCGCTACATGGCGTAGCCTCGTCCATGTCGCAAGCCGCCGAATTCCTGCATGCTTGTCATGGGCAGGACTGGCGCCAGTTTAGTGCTTGAACTGCTGTGATGGCGAGAGGTTCGCTATTGTGCGGGCTGCAGCAGCAACCTGGAGGTCGTAAAGACAATAACACGCGTGTGTGAAACTAGTGAAAAATGATTGTGCTAGATTTCGTGCCAGCAGCGAACCGTGATCGCCGAGATCCTCGACTTGCGCCCAGAAACGTTGAAGCTCAATAATAAAAATTAAAACACATAAATAAATTAAACCTCGTGCGTGTCCCACGCAGCGTCCTTTTTTACTGGCCTCATTTCGGATGTTGCCTCGATTTAGGGCGGGAATTCGGACCTGGCGGGATAAGGCCCGTCATTTGGTGGCAGCAGAAGGTCGACGACGGCAGCGCCAGCATGAACGCGGCCCAGGTAGCGAGCTTCAAGGAGACGATTGACCAGTGCGTCGATACGATTTGGAGCGCGTACGACCGCGACGACAGCGGGTACCTTGACAAGACAGAGACACGCAAGTTCGTCAACACGCTCATCGCCGAGTACGAGAAGGACGGCGACGTCGTGCCGCCCGTCAACTTTGAAGAATGTTTCACCGCCTTCGATGTCGACGGCAACGGCCTTCTGAGCCGAAAAGAAATGCGCATCTTTGTCGAGCAGCTCATGGGCTTCTAGGCATTACGATCCCAAGCTATGTGTATGATCGACTCGATTGTGCGGCTTCACTACATGAGGTGAAATACATATTCACGTGTACCGGTAGTCATGACGAGTCTAAATTGCACCAAGCATTAGTTTTGCATACCATTGGGGCTCGCGAGATGCTTAGCAGACGAAACGAAGATTGGCGTCGAGGAGAATGGTGGCTAGAGTCATTTTGGACTCGAGTACCCGTACCTAAGTGGTACCGGTACAGGGTTCGATTACTCGTGGCCTCTGCAGTCTTGGTGTACCGGCACCGGTAGTCTTGGCTGCAACTCGCAACGCAAGAATGGACGCTGGAAGATGACGCTGGATACTGCGTTCGTCGGCGTGAACTGGCGCTGGATGCTTGGGACCAAGTTCTTTTGACGCGCCGGAAAATGGCGCGTGTTCTGTAACACTGTTGGCACTATCAACGCATATCAGTTTTCGCTGAGACTTAAAGCACGCAACATAGCACGGACCCATGCACGCCGACTGCATCCTCCACTGCACCATCCTGCGAGTGTCGCCCCAGTTACAGCTGCACTTCCACACTTGTACACTGTAGCTCACTACCAGTCGTAGACTCATATGTCCACTTGCGCACTTGCGAGAGCATTGGCCACGCAGTCGCTACCACAGCAATAAAGCTAACGTTACCCGAGATACCGGTATTACATGTACCATGAAGGGCACCTATAGCACAGCCTCTAGCACCTTTGACGCCAATACGTATACGTGACGTATACTTCAATACGTCATGGCCTCCTACGGCCCACAGGCGTCATCGCGCCACCAGTACTTTTGGGTGTTTGAAGCCCATGGAAGCTTGCGGATGTCCCAGTGTTATAACTAAGCACATGGCTGCGTGAGTGCCCCGTCATGAAACAGTACCGCAGAGGAGCGGCAGCCATTTTCACTTGCCTCCAATGGAAGCCAACCATGACGCATGGGAAAGCTTCAAGGAAGAGCGGGCACAGCGCGTCGCTGGCGCGCTTTCCCTCGTCCTGTACGCGATGGTGGCGCTCGGCGTGCTCTCTCGCCTCGCACTGCACGTACGCCACGGCAGTGGGCTCCGCCGCGTGACGTTCCACGTGCTCTTGCTGCACGTGATCGTCGGCAACATTCCGTTCAGCGTCCAAGCTGTGTTTTACCCGCGTAGCCAGCGCTGGATTGGTGCCTTCGTGGCCTCGCTGTTGGCCGACACGCTTCTCTGCTGCTCGCTCGCGATGCTCTCGATTGCCTGGGCCCGCGTCGCCATGGTCGGGCAGTACGCGCACGGCCCCGTGCGCTTCAAACGCTTCATCATTGGTATCTCCGTCGCCATGGTACTCGCAATGCTTGTGACTGACGGTGCCGTATTCACCTTCTCCGACGACGTCGCTGGCGCGAGCGATTACAACGAGAGCATTTTGCACATTTTGATCGTCTCGCTCGGCTCGGTTGTCATCCTTTTCACGTCGAGCTTGCTACTCTTCCAGGCGACTCGCATCTACCGGCGCATGCTCCAGTCGCGAAGCATGCTCAGCGCGACCGTCTTCTCGCGGTCCGCGACCAAACTCTTTGTGTCTGTCTGGATCATCATGCTCTGCAACGTCCTTCGCGTCTTCTTCATCGTGTGCGACGCCTGTGAGTTCCGCTTCGTACGCGAGATGGACGTCGTGCCACACACGGTGTGGGCATACCTCGTGCCCAACGTCTTCCCCGTCATCTGCCTCCTCTACCTCCAACGCCGCATGCCCGCCGCCTCGCGCAAGGTGCAGCGCGTCGCCGTTGCCGGCGGCGCAGAAGACGCGCTACAGACCGCCACGGCGACAATGGACGCGGCGTGGAACGACCACGCGAGCCCGAGCGGCCACGCGTAGCCGTGCGAATCTACGTCATAACTTCTATGTCAACCTTTAACTTATTCACCGACCTATTTCATATCTCTGTGCCTCGAGTGCATGTCCGAGCTCCATACTATTGCTAGTAAACGGGATCTCGGGGAGTTTACGGCACGGCTAAAACATGTACCTTTGGTTGAAACCAGCTCGTCGGCGCACGACTCACCAACGTAGCCACGATGAGAACGGCCCTGGAGCAAGCAACTCAGCAAGAGTTGCAACTCGGTCGTGTCCTGCATCAGTGCTAGTAGTTGCTGCAAACGTAAGCAGCGCGCGCGCCGCTGCAACGTCGTTCGAGTGGTTGCTCAAGCATTCAAGCATTCGGACTCGTCTTCTGACCACCTCGCGTTCGACGTGGATGGCGTGCGCTTGGCACATCGACTGCGCCAACATCGCCCATCTTCATGCACTAATTACCGACGGGTCGTATGGCGCAACGAACGCTAGAGGCTCCTGCACAGCTGCACATCCCCTTCCGCCGATACACGCTGCCAAAGTGCAAACTCAATTACTTTCTCAAACGGCACTTCTACCCATACAAATCCGAGTCAAATGTAAAAGCAACCTCAAAACCAACTCAAGTGCGTACCGTGACAGGCGACCTCGCACTACAGAATCGAACGCGCCAACTGGATATCTGCCGCGCGCAGTGGCCATTGACGCTGCCATTTTGAATGTCCTCGACGGGCTCGGTCGTTAGCAGCGGCCTGACGCCGTCCGAAGTTGTCGGCTACAAGGTCGCGGGCTACATCTCTCTCTCGCTGTACGCTGTCGTGACGGTCGGCATCGCCACGCAGCTCTACATGCACATCACGCACCACAGCGATCTCAAGCGCATTGGCTTCCATCTCCTCTTGTTCTTTGCCGTCGCCGCCGAGACGCCGACGAGCCTCCAATTCATCGTGAACCCCAACAGCACGCAGTGGATTGGCATGTTTTTATGTGAAGTGTACGCCCAGCTGCTGCAGTGCTTTGCCCTTGCGATGATCGCGCTAGCGTGGGCTCGCGCTGCAGCCGCGGGCCACCACGATGGCCCTGTGACGCTGCGCAAGGTCGTCCTTGCGTGCAACGTGGTCATCTTCCTCTGCGTGCTCGGCTCGTCCTGCGTGATCGCCACGTACCCCGATACCCTCGCAGGCCAAATCGACTTTATGAAGAGCCCACTGTACTATGTGCTTGTCATCTCGGGGTGTGTGACGCTCCTCGGCACCGGTTTCTTCCTCGTATTCCAAGGCTGCTGCATTGCGACGCGGCTCCTGCGTGCGCGCGCCGTCCTCGGCGAAGACGAAGTTTACCGGTCGCTCTCGAAGCTCCTCGTCTCACTCTGGACCATCATGCTGTGCATTTGCCTCCGCGTCTTCTTCACGGCGTGCTTGGCGCTCGACGTGGCGTTCATTCAGCACATGGACATCGTGCCCTTCACGGTCTGGTCGACGCTCGTGCCAGACGTCTTTCCCGCGCTCTGTCTCCTCTACCTCCAGCGCAAGACGCCGACCGAGATGACACACCACCGGAAACAAGTGCGCGTCGCGTCGCAAGCGCCCACGGAGCCGTACATGATGCACACGACCGAAGTCAGCGCCGTGTAGCCGCGCCAACGCCGCCTTATTTACTTGCTCGTCCATTTAGAGTTGAATCAATCGAAAAGGCACACGCAGCATCTAGCGTGAGTTGTCGTCGTCGATGGTTGACTGCCGCGGGCGTCGCGGCTTCCAAACCAGATACGTGTCCATCGCCTTGACAATCTCTCGCGTTCGCGCCACGTAGTTGTGCAGTCGCAGCCCTTGGCAGCCCAGCTAGCGTCCTCGACTGAGCTGCATATCCAGCCATAAGCAAGGGTACCTCGTTCAGACGCACGCCGAGGCTTATGTGCAGCACGGGTTTGCCGAACTTTGGGATATCGCTGGCCATCGTGGCCAGCAGCTTGGACTCGATCTCCACGGGTACGTTGAGGGCGACCATGTCGCAGATGCCCTAACCCTTCGTATGACACGACCCTGCAATACTGCTGTATCTACCTCGACAGCCATCTCGTTAAAGTCGACAGCGCTTGTGAGTGCGCGCGTGATGGGGACAGAGGCGACGCCAACGAGCTTGCTCTTCCCGACGAGGTTCCAGTCGTAGACTTCCATGACGAGCCGCGTCTCCATGCTCGTGATCTTAAACTCGAACGGCGCGTTCCAGACGGGACTGCGCTGCTTCTTCTTGACGACGGTCTTTGCCTTGGAAGGCAAGAGTTTGTCGCCTTGCTTAAGCTTGACCTTCAGAAACGCGTCGAGTGCCTTGGTCGAGCGGTCCATAATCGGCAGGATGTTGGCGCCGACAATGACGACGTACAGCATGCCCAGCAGCTCTGTCTCTAGCTTTGGAAACGCTTGGATCTTGGCTTCGAGCGCGCAGAGCTCTTCGCGAAGCTCCTCGACTTGCTCGCCGTCATTGATGTCGCCGCTCACAATGTACCGAAAGACGCCTACAACAATACTAGCCGGATAGGAGCGGTAGAACGAACCGTTGAGAAAAATGTCCCCCGGCGGTCGCAGGACCTGGTCGACCTTGTCTTTGCTCGTGAGCTGGAACAGGTACGTTTCCTGGAGGTACGCTTGGCGCTTGAGGGTGCTCTTGATCGTGTGGAGCACCTCTCGATCCGAGGCGTCGTGGAGCGAGACGAGCACGGACGCGAGGTAGAGCGCCGTCATGAGTAGCGTCAGCGAGAAGAGCTGGTCGAGCCACGCACTCATGGGAATGCTACGGAACGTCATGTTGGCCTGGGAAGCCAGCATTTGCACGATGACGACGTTGCCGGCGTTGATGACGACGCCAGAAAGCGTGAGCATGCGAAAGTAGATCATCCAGCCTCCGATTGAAGACGCGGGGAGTGGCATCGGGCGCTGCATCAAGTAGCATAGCTTGTACGCGTCCACGCGTATCTACGCATACGATCAAGCTACGCAACTGTGTCACAAGAAGAAGAGTGCTACTTGAACAAGAGTGATGGCGAGTGCAATGACCGCGGCCTGGGGTGCGAGTGCGCCAAACCACGTGATGTAGCCAAACGTGATAGAGATCTGTGCATAGTCAAAGAGGACGCCGTCGTAAACGTCGAGGGTCAATTCGTCGTTGAGGCTGCGAGACCTGCAAGAGCTTTTTCGCCGGAAACTCGAGCTCGGTACGGACGTACCCCATCTCGGTGTCCAGCGGTGTGTAGATGCGCGTCCGGCGGGCGTTGTACGCGTGGCGCACGGTGAGCAGTAGCGGCGTCGCGATCTCGCGCACCGACAGCGCCAAGTTGAAGAAGAGGACGCTCAAGAGCAAGTGCTCCGTCTCGTCGGCGCACGCCGCAGCGTCCAAGTGCGGCATCGTCGACAGGTTGCAGCCAAAGATGTACGGCTTGAGGTACGTCGAGAAGAGGATCGGGCCAAAGTTGTTGATGGTCTGAAAGAGTGCGACTAGTGAAGCGTTTGGCTTCTGTCCGAGGAAGAGAAATGTGTGTACACTTGACGGTCAGGGCGACGTGAAAGGCGTGGTGCGTGCGGTGGTTCTCAAACTGGTTGAGACGCACGACAATCTACCGGCAATGTCAGATGCGTCGTCGCGAGCAGCTTCGTACCGGCTGGAACGGCACTTGACTCAAATTGATCAGCAACGCGATGACAATGTTGGAGTAGACCGTGAACGAGTCGTCCGAGTCGTAGATCGACTCGTAGTGGGCCTGGAGGGCAAACACCGCGTAGATCGCGAGGCCATTGAGCCCCATTGCGAGACAGAGAAGACACGTCGCCTGGAGCTTGCGCATCGCCTATTCGCAGCGCCGTCGGTCGGGTCGCGCGTCATCTGAGGGGGTGTTTACTTGCAGCTGCGGCCGGGCGATGAGCTCTGGTGCGTTCGTCACGGGGCTGATGCCAACGACACCTGTATACTCGGCGCGAATGGTGGCGTCGGCTTGGACGTTGTCCATGCCCCATGCCACGGCGAGCGCGCGCTGCCGGACGTCCCATTTTCGAAGCATGAAGCACGCGTAGAGGCAGTTGACGCTCGCGAGGACCATGTTGTAGTAGCCCAGCACTGCGTCCGGCAAGACGAGCGAGAAGGGCGCGTCGACGATGCTGATGCCAATGAGCACAACGAGCATCTCGGCGTAAAACGATAAAAAGGCGAAGTCTAGTTTCAAGTGACAACGCGAGACGTCACCGATTGCACGTACAGAGGCCGAGCTCTTCGCCAAAGTAGTCGCGAATGAGCTCAATCGGCTGGTAGAAGAGCACGCGCCACGAGCGGCAAATGCTGTGCTTGTAGAGGTAGACGTACGAGCTGAGCGCGCCCCACTGCGCACAGAGCTGGTCCAAGCTCACATCGTCGCTGTGCTCACAAGATGTGGGCATGTGAAGACACAGGTGGTGTGTGAGGAAGCCCTCTTGCTGCAGCATCTCGCAGTTGAACGCCTTGTCGAGTGCCGCCTTGGTCAAGCGCATCTTGTCAACCCACCGGAACGGCAACGTGCCCTCGACGTGCCGGAAGAGGTAGTGCAGGGCTGGGTCGGCCTGGAATGGAAAGTACAAGAGTGCTGTGGACGGAAACCGCTTCTGCACACTTGGGTTGGCGATGCGTTTGAGCGCCGAGATGCGCCGAGCGACCATCGCGGGCGACTCGCCGGGAAAGACCTGCGCCTCGTCCGCGGTCACGTGGCCTTCGAGAAAGAGTCGATGCAGCTCCTTCTCGGCCACCTCCGTCGCGTACTCGGTCGTCTCGTGGCCGTGCTCTAGCCAATACTACTCGGCAATCGCATGCGCTTGCTGAGATATATCAACGCTACCTGGCTGCCAGGATCAATCTCGGACCAAATGGGAAGGTTGAGCTGCACGTCGCCGGCCAAGTGCACCAGCGCGTCCCGCGTCAAGCGCACCAAACAGTAGATGCTCTGGTCGTCGGCCGAGATCTGCGTCGCGAGTGTGATGCCCGGCACGGCTTCGAGGCGCTGCAGCACAATGTTGCGCATGAGCTACGCGTCACGTGAAGAAAAGGGACGAGGCCTCCGTCGAATCTACTTCTCTGAAAAAGTGCCGCGGAATGCGATCCGTGGCGGCGGGCGCGAGGCTGCGAAACTTGACGACCCACGCGTCGCGGAACTCCTCGACCGCCGCGTCCTTGTCCGCGTCCGAGCCGCACGTGACGCGCCGGATGACGTCGGTGGCGTCCGCAAACGAGATGCGGTCGGTGGCGCCGGCGTCCAGCGCGTGCGGCGTGTTGGGAAACACGAGCGCGTAGTAATACTCGGACCCGACGACGTCGCCGTGGCTGCCGTACGTCGTCGGAGCCTGACCAATGTCGAGCGCGATGGTGGCCATGGTGGTCGCGAAGCGTCACTGGCGCTGATTGGTGCATACGCGATCTTGGATTATTCTTCTTCGACAATGCCCACTTCTCGCAATAGCAACGAGACCACCGGAGCTCTGCAACGACGACGGTGCACTCGTAGCTTGCGACCGACGCTCTTCTATACCGACGCGACGCTCGAAAGGACTCGGCCGACGAAACCAGGGACATCTTGGCCGCCTTCAGTCCGATGACGCGATCGCACGCCTCGGTGACTATAGAAGCTGCAAACGACAAGCGTACTAGTACATCACAAGGCGACCTCTATTGTGTTATATACATCCAGCGGCAAGAGTTGTAGGTTAGAGCGCGAGCCAGTTGTTGTTGCCGATCGTGAGCGCCATGCTCTTGATGATCACGTCGCGGAGCTCGTCGTAGAGGCGCGGCTGCTCGAGCTTCATGGCCTCGTACGCGTCGCGCGTGAGGCAAAAGACGGTGCAGTCGCTCGACGCACGCGCCGAGAGGTGGCGGATTTGCTGCACAAAGAAATCCACTTCGCCAAACATCGCGCCCACGTGCACCTTCTCGAGCAGCGCCAGCGACGCGCTCTCGCCGTTGTCGACCGAGCCGTCCTTGTTCATAAAGAGGTCGACGCTGCCGGCGCCGAGGATGTAAAACGCACGCGACGGCTCGGAAATCTACACAAGTACTTCCATCGCACCGACGCTTAGTAGGAAAGATGAATACCTGGTAAAAGTAGTGGTCCGACTCGACGAGCTGCTTGGCAAAGTACGGCGCCAGCGGCTCAAACAACGCCGCGTTGTCCGGGAGGCCGACAAACCGGTTGAGCAAGAGCGGGAGCGAGGCGTCGGCGCGGAAGAACGAGTTGGTGCGCGAGGCCAGAATCAGGTGGCTCTCGCAGTACTCGAGCGCTTCGTCGCAGTTGCGGTAGAGGACGGTCTCGTCGACAATGTCGTTGTTGATGAGGAGGCGCGAGACGGACGGGAGCACGTTGGCGTAAATCACGTCAATCTTGTGCGACGAGCAGAGCTCCTGGAGGATCATAAAGCAGCTGCGCGCCGCGGTCGCGTCCATGCCCGTCACGCGCTTGAAGTCGAGGACGAGGTACCGCGTCGGGAGACGGTTCTTGGACTCGGAGGGCGACAGCGGTGTGCCGTCGAGGTGCTCGAGCGGCCGGTTCACGAGCGACCCGTACGGGTTGACGGGCTTGAGGACGCGTACAAACTTCTTGACGTCCTCGACGATGTGCACCGACGTGCCAAAGAAGAGGTACCCGTGCAGCTCGAGCACGACGATCGCGTCGCGCTTGTCCGCGATGACGCTGCGCGCGGCGTAGTTGCGGATCGCCGTCGACGACTTGTACACGCGCTGGACCTGGTTGACCTGCGCGTAGCCGATGAGAAAGTTGACGATGGCGAAGCCAATGCCAATGATCATGCCGAGCTCGAGGTTGACCGCGTTGATGGCCAAGAACGAGAGCCAGAGCACGAGGTACTCTTGGAAGAGCACCTTGTGGTAGACGTGCACGAGCCACTCGAGGAGGAGGTCGATCGCGATAAAGATGAGCGTCGCCGCAAAGAAGAAGCGAGGCACGTAGCTCATGATCGAGATCGGAAGCACGACGAGCGCAAACTCCGAGATGATGACGCAGATGCCGACGACGCGCGAGTTGGTCTTGGAGCGGTACGTAAAGATCGTCTGCGAAAAGATGTACGACCCTGTGTAGCCGCCGAGGATGCCCGAGAGGAAGTTGCTCCACCCGACGCACGCAAGCTCGTGGTCAATGTCGAGCTGCGCGCCCATGTCCATTTCGATCGCGGCGACGTCGAGGCACGACGAGAAGGCGACGACAAAGGTCATGCCGACCCACGTCGTGACCTGCGACGGCAGGACCGACCAGTGCACATGCTCGAACGAGAAGAGCGAGAGCATCTCGGAAAAGCCGGCGGCGGGCGCGAGCGGCGCGACCCAGCCAAACGCGCGCGCGTCCTCGAGGTTGTAGCCAAAGCCGTAGAGCACGAAGAAAAAGAGGATCGGGACGCCGACGATGACGCTCGGAAGCGCAAACGAGTTGTCGTAGCGCTGGCTCACGTAGAGGAAGAGGTACCCGCCGGCGACGCCTGGCGCGCACAAGAGCAAACGGTGCCACGACGCGAGCTGCGCCATCGAGCTAAAGTCGTTGATGACTAGGCCCGTGCACAGCGAGAGGCCGGCGAAGAGACAAAAGAGCCCAATGAATGCGAGGTACCCGCCGACGACCGGCATCGGGAGGTACGAGACGAGGCCCGCAAGCTTGAACTTGCCAATGGCCACGAGCGTCATGCCGAGCGCCGCCGTCGAGAGACCGATCGTGACGAGGACGGTCGTGACCTTGGCTTCGAGCGGCACGTCTTCGCCCAGCGTGTTGCAGATGGACGTGGCCATGGCGCTGAGGAAGATGAGGCCCGCATCCTAGACGTCCTTATTAATGTCAACGAGACGAGCATGGGTGCTGGTACCTGGACTTGGCCAATCGCGAAAGGGAGCGAGCTCAGCGTCGTAAACATGATCTGGTGCACGACGCTGGAGAGGAGCACGAGCTTGGCGAGGGCGGGCATGAAGGTGGTAAAGTCCGAGTGGCTAAAGATGATGGCGGCGTAGCCGTACATGCACGGGATCGTCAGGATCGAGTTAATGACGCCGTAAATGAGGCTCTGCACAAGCGACTCCCAGGCCGACGCCTTGGGCTTCTTGGCTGCCGCACCGGGCAAGCCGAGGCATGAGTCGGTGAGCGAGGGCTGGGACTTTTGCCACGGATGCTCGTCGTCTCGCCGGAGCGAGAGCCGCGTGACGTGGCCGCGCGGGGTCACACCTATGACGCCTTGAGCCTCGACGCAGTTGGCGGATCGTACCAGAGAGCGCCGGCGACTTCATGGTCTGCTGCTGCTGCTTGGACGCCAATCGGCAAATGTGCAATCTCCCACATTGCCCTGTCTAGCTCACTCTGGAATAAAAATAAGCAGCTTTCAGAGGGTGCGGCATAGAAAACATAAGCTATTTAATGCTTCAATCCATTCTATTGAGATACAAGGTGAGACGCTTTATTTAAAGTAGCCGTGCAAGTACTGTGGCGGGAGACAGGGCGTCGCCCAACTTCAAGGCGCCCAGCTGCTCCGTGGAAGGCTCGACGCAGCACGAGAAATGGGCCGATTCGACCAGCCACGGCGTTGCCGCGGTCCCTGGCCCTGCCCGTCCCAGTTACCAACGCAGTAGACAGGAAGCCGCGGCGCTTGCGACATGCGACCGTCGTTGGCACCCACGTCCCGCGTCCACCCGGATAGCACCCAAGGAGCAAAACCCACTTGAGGTCAAGAGTGGCGCTTCGTGGCCGCTCGTTCCGCACAGGAACGCGTATCATCGATCGTTCGTCGTCGTCGTCCCGAAGCACTTGAGGCCACGACGTCGCTTCGTCTCTGATATCTGCGCCATCGCAGCGATAGTTCATTATTGGTTCGTGAGCAGTTTTAAACCCGTTTCGCGCCTTTGTGTTGGCACAGAGTTCGTGGAATCGGTGCAGCAGTCGGTGGCATTGACAGCACACGAAGCATGATATACCCGGCGCCAGTGCAACGCGGTGTCGAGGCGCCTTTGTCGCGGTCCGCGCGCCTCGAGGCCATCGCGGGTTGCGTCTACGTCCTCTTTTCGCTGAGCTGCGGTCTCTGGTTCCTCGTCTACTTGACGCCATGCTTTCGCAACGATCTGTGGTGGCCCGACTACAACTTGAGCGGTCACCAGGCGTTCCTTATCGACGTGCTCAACCGAGTGCTGGCGACGACGCCCGTAGCCACGTTTCCCATCACCAATAGTTTGCCTGGCGTGCAAAAAGGGTACAATGGGTCGTCGTCCGTCACTACGGTCTACCCGACGTACGCCCGCCAGCTAGCGTTGCATGACCTCTCGTCCATCGAGTATGCGGTCGCGAACCTTCGGCTTCTGAGCGCAAGTTGGTCCATGCGCATGAACACGCAGCACTGCTACGTCGACTTCAACAGGACCTTTACCGTGGCCCACACGGCAGAGCGGGCTGCGCGCTGCGACGCCAAGTACCGAGCGAATGGCGCCGTGTACTTGGAAGCCACGCTGCGCAATGTCGACTGGAATGACTTTCTGACGATCTGGGCCGGCCCCAACATGCCGTTCACGGTTGCGATTCAGCTCGGTTTGGAAGAGACCGAGGCAGGTCGCCGTTGGCTCGCGACCACCGCGTCCGCCCACACAAACACGAGTGTCGACGCCGAAATCGCGTACTGGCGGTCGTTCAACATTACAACCTTTGTGTTGCAGTGGCAGAACCGGTGGCAGACGGGCATGACCGAGACGGTCGCGCTTACGAACGCGCTCGGGATGCCGCTGAGCACGACCATCAAGAGTCTCTCCCGCGTGACGGGCCCATGGACGTCGCAAAATCTCTTTTACATGCCGCTCAACGACCTCTGGGTCATGCAGGGCCTCAACCGGAGCTTGGTCTGGGGCACGTCCAAGTACGTTGGCGCCAATATAAGTGCGTCGATGCCAGCTATTCCTATCGAAGCGTGGAATGCCAACTATGCCACTGGCGTCTTTGCTGCCCAAGCTGCGCTCTTCCATTACGAGCTCGGACCGTTCCTATCGGTGGATGCGTTTTACCGGGTGCCGCCGGCGTCGCTCCTCGCCGCGTACGACACGCTCCAGGCGGCGCTCGTACCACGCCTCGGCGTCGACCGGGCTCTCAGCGCCGCCTACCGCGCGATTCCGACAGGCGTCACGACGACGCCAACGCCACTGGCATGGCGCAACTACACGTTTTACGGCGGCAACCCCATGTGCGTCTCGAACCTTCCGACGTCGTTCGTACAGCAGTCGTTCGACTTTTTCGACGGCTGCACGCAAGCGACGCCATTTTGGTTGTCGCCAAGCCCCGCCGCACTCGTGTTTGGTGTCGTTGCGACCGACGCGAGCAGCGCGGCGTGTGCTGCTGCCGGTGTCAATTGCTCTGCGGCGTCGCGGGTTCGCCAGCGCCTCGACATCGCCCGATCCGAATTTGCAGCCGCGACAAACGACGTGATCGCCATGGGTCTCGAGCACATGCAGTACGCACGATCGCCCAACGGAACGTGGCTCATGCTGCACCAATCGCTCCTCGACGTAAAGGACTTGGCGTGGACGCTCTCGAGCTGGGTGCTGCTTCGCGAATGGGTTCTCGGCGTGCGGGAGGTCGTCTCGTTCGAAGGCGACGTGCGGTCGGTCGTGCTCATGTCGAATGCGTACTCGCCGACCGACTTCTCGACGAGTGGCCTGGGCCAAGTGCTGCAAAGTGCGACGCAGGTCGGCTGGTACCTCGTGCTCGTTGTCTCGTTAGCGCTCTGCGTCGTTGGATCATGGACTCTCTACATGGCGTTCAAACGTGGCTTTTACATTGTGGGACGCAACTTGGTCTCCTTCAACCGAACGGTTGGCGCGACGTGGGTTGGTCGGCCTCTGTGTATCTTTCGCGGTCTTGCTGCCATTTTGCTGTTGAGCACGTCGTCGGTCACCCTCGACGCGTCGAACGTCGTGCGGCTCATGCCTTCGCCCCGTCCTTGGTACATCGTGGCGCTTCTCGCTGGTGAAGCGTGCTGGATCACGTACGTCCTCAACGAACTCGTCATTGTGTTTGCTCGGGGCATCTCGGCGATGCATTGCCACGCCTCGAGCCTTCTCGTGTGGCTCGTCATCGTCGCCGTTGAAGCGCTATCGCCCGTGGCAGCGACCGCGACGCTAAACCGGCAGTGTACGAGCCAGAATATGGACTACGTCGTTCACTGCGACTCGGGTATCGTTCACATTGGCGACTTTCGACGAGTGCTGGACCTCGTGAGCATTCAACTCATGGTCGTTTTCTGTGTCACCTTGGCAGCCATGTGCTCTCCGAAACGTGCCATTTCGCCAGCATTGCCGTTGGCCGAGCCCAGTTTGCGCTTGTCCGCAGTCGCTCGAGCTTTTATAAAACCCCTGCCAACCGCAGCGACCGCGCAGACGTTCGACGTTGTCGGAAGCGTGCTTGCCGGTGTCATCTTTTGCTCGTATGGATCGGTGGAGTGCCTCTTCGACATCAAGCTTTGGAGACTCCTCGTGCCAAAATGTACCTCGGCGCCGATGGGGGTGCTTTTACTAAGCGCGCAGTTGCAGCGCGTGGACGTCGACAATGTTGCGCCAACAACGTGGTCACGCCGTTGGCGCCGGTTTGTGGCTGTGCTTGGACTTTTGCACATGTTTGTGTCCCTCGGCGGCAGTGTCCTGTACCTCGAAGTGGCGATGACAGACTTGACCAACAACTTTTATTGGAGCGAGTTCAACGTCACGGGTGGTCACGCCTTTGTGGCGTCGTGGCTCACGGAGCAACTCGTCTTTGGACGGCCACTGTCGTGTCGACTGGACGACAAGCACGTCAATTGGTTTGGGCCGTTTGACGCCGACGTTGCCTTCGTGGCGTCGCCAGCCAACTATGGCGCTCGCCTCCAGCACTCGGTCTTGACCTCGATCGACGTGGCCATCGAAGCGCTTCGCTCGATGGACGCCTGTGACGCGCCGTGGCTCTTCACACCGTACTGCTACGTGGATTGGAACCAAACGTGGGAAATGGCGGCGACCAGCACCCGCCAAGCGCGGTGCCGGGCCTTGGCGAAGAACGGCGCCGTCTACTTGGCGTCGCTGGTGCACAATGTGGATAGTGCAAGGTTTATGGCATGCTGGGGTAAAGCTTTTGAAGTCGGTGTTGCGTCCGAGCTTCGGCGGTCGATCGCCGGAGTCCATTGGCTCTCGACGCCGCGCCGAAGTGTGGTCGACGAAGCCGACGTCTGGCGTCGCGCCAACGTCACCTACTACGACACGCAGTGGCAGAACTACAAGCACATCGGTGTCTCCAATGTCTACTCGATCGTGAATGCGTACGGTCTTGTGTATCCCCTGACCCTTCAGCGCCAGAACGGATCCTACCGCATCGCGGGCCAATCCAGTTTCAAAATGTACTGGGGCCTCGCCAACGACTTGATGGCGGTGGTCGACAACTCGAGCAGGATCAATGGTCACAGTCTGCTTCGAGCGAGCTCTGCCTTTGCGTATCGCAATGTGACGATATCGAGTGTTCTAGCGCAACGCGCTGTGTTTTCGCTGCCGCTCTCGCAAGGTTTCGACTTGCTGACAAAGGTCCTCGGGCCCTTTGGATCTGTCGATATGCTCTACATCAACGTCCCGACACGCGTACAGGGCGCCGTTCGAAACCTCGTGGACCTTGTTCGCTCGAGTTTGACGGTGTCGACGCCAGCTCAGAGCGCGTACGCCGCTATTACACCGCTGGACTCGTCGCATCCTGTGCCGCCACCGTGGCTAGGACGCGGAGGCATCACGTTTGGCGCCTCGCCGCTGTGCCCGGACGTGGCGTACCCCTCTCGTGTTGACATTGGACTCAACAATTTGCTTTCGTTCACCGAGCCGTGTGTCCCGACGACAGGGGTTCTCGCCATGGTAGCACCTTCGCGACAACACTACGTGGTTGCTGCGGCGATGGCGTCTCCCGTGAACATATCTGCTTCGTGTTCGTTCGACCCAACCAACCACGCGGCGTGCTTGGCGTACCTCAGTCGAACGCAGGCGTTTCTGGCGACGCATGTACCGTCAGCAGCACCGGACAGCGATGCGATTCACGCTATCGAAAGCTTGGAGATTGGATTTATCAACTACGGATACCTCGACGGGGCACCGCCACTGCAACTTTTGCACGCCAAGCTACTGGACGAGCCAGCGTTTGGCTTTTTTGCGTGGCTCTTCCTCTACGAGTGGGTCGCTGGTGCGCGGGAAGTTGTCGCGTTTCAAGGCGACGCTGGCAATCTGACACTCATCACGAACCTCCAAGACCCCCGGCGCCAGTCCGTCCAGGCGCACGATGTGCCCGTCAATTTGGCGCAGTACGCTCGGGGCTGTCTTGTCTACGTGACGTTTACAATGATCACGATCGCAGCGTTGGTGGTTGCGTACGCATTGTGGAGCTGCGGCCACGTTGAAGGCGCCAACATGTTCAAATTCGGACAGGTTGGCGGCGTCGCGTGGGTCGGGCGCCCGCTCCTCTGTCTCCGAAGCCTCACCGCCATTTGCATGCTCTCGACGGCGTCGCCGACCTTGCACTTCACCGGCGTCATCACCCTCTTCTACGACGACCGCCCGTGGTACAAGCTCGTGCTCGCAGCCAACGAGGTCACGTGGCTCGCGTCCATCATCAGCGACCTCTTGCTCGTTTTCACACGCGAGTACACTTCGTACTACCTGTCGGTGCACAATGTGGTCGTGTGGGTCGTCGCGGCGGTCCTGACAACGACGGCACCCGTCGAGCACCGAGTGGATATTGACCTCCGCTGCTCAGCAACCGCACTGGACCTCAACGTGGCATGCGATGCAGGCGTCATTTACATCGGCCAAGCCACACGCCTCTTGATGCTTGTTGGCCTCGTGCTCGGGTCTAAAGCGCTGCTCTTGGTCGTAGTGAAGTGGCGCGTCGGCGTGTCCCCAGCGCCAGTAGCCCACAGCTTCTTTCTCTCGGCGGGCGCGACATACCTCTTCAAGCACGACCACCGCACACACGATGGCGTCTACTACCTCGACCGAGCGTCCGCGGTCATGGACGGACTGCTCACACTGCGTGGCGCACGCGGTGTCGTGTACGTTTTGGACTGCAAGTCGTGGCGCGTCCATGTATTGAAGTCACCCAAAACCATTCCAGGACTAGGCCGGGCGCCGCAATGGCACCGGTCGCTGCAGCACGCCTGTCCGCTCACAGACTAAGAACGTTTGTGAATCCACGTGGTACCGATTCATTGCTCAAAAGAGAGAGAGAGGTGTACGCACACATATAAAGCCCGAGGTTCGTTCTGGCACCGTGCGACGAGGACTTGGACTTCAAGCAAAAATACTGAGGTATCGCCCAGAGTTGCGACGTTGCATTTGTCATAGTTATCGCAAAGGGGCGTTACTGCTGAAACGGCTTCATTGACCGAGCTTCGCTTGGCGCTACATGCCTGTCCTCTTGGCTCAAGAGCAGCGCGTTTGTAGAGCATGAGTGAGCTAGACGATCCCTCGAATCGGATGGCTGGTTCGCCTCCGACGCCGCCGCCAGTAGCCTCCGGTGGATCCCGCCGCCCTTCCATGGACCATTCTCATGTAGTCGCAGGAAGCAACTCTACCACCGATATTCCCCCTCCTCTTCTTGGACGCAGTCGGCGGAACTCGGAAATTCAGCAACCATTACGAAGCGAACCCTTGTCCCGGCGCCCTTCAATCGCACCACCGATGCTCGACTTGTCTAGCGCCGACACGGCGGTGTTTCGCCCCGAATTTTGCACGACGCCGCAGGATATCAAGGCTACAACACGGTACAATCGCTGTAGATTGCAGTGAGGATACTGACGACAGAGGTGGCTAGACCGTTTAGTGCGTCCGCGACGACCGACAACGTCTTTGCCGTTGTCCACTTTGGCCAAGGATTCGAGCACCTAGGGCATGCAGCTCCGACGACATTTGTTGTGCTTCGACCGACGCGGCGGCTGGACGCTGCGACGGCCTGTGAGTTTTGGACCTGCCCCGCGGGCGAGCGGCGGGTCTACGATGGGCTTTACACACCGTTCGGCGCAACACGCGTCGTCGAGCAGGTAGCATAGCGAGGCGCAGCATTTATTTATTCTACGTTCTTAGAGCGCATCACCCATCTACAACGAGATGCTTGCCGTCAACGTCCCGTCCAATGTGCGCACTCGCGGCGTGTGGGGCGTCGTGCTCGAGGTCATCGCCAAAAGCGTTGATGGCCAAGACATACTTCTCTCGTCGGTGGCCATGCCGGTGGAGTATCTTCCGTTGGACTCGGAGGCGTCCATGCAACTGCAACTACCATCAGCATCGAGCGCGTCGCCGGCGTCGGCGAGCCTTCTGGTGACATTTTTTCGGACTCACCAGCTGTGTGTTCTCGCCATCTTGCAAGTACGAGCTCACGAGCAATCGATCGATAGGAGGCCTTCGCTGCACCGTGCCGAGCTGACGTTGGAGTGCATTGGGTCGAATGCAATGCACCCGAGCCTCGTCGACGACAGGACGCGGCTTCGACTCGAGATTTTGGACGCCGATGCGGCGGGGACAACCACTACTGTTCATGCGCCGCTCGTACGTATGTCAATTCCCGACGCGAGCTAAATCGCCCGTAGCCAGCGCCCGTTGTTGCTTCAGCCGATGCCCTGCGAGGTTGGCAGTCCATTCCTTGGCGACTGACCCCCGGAGGCCGCTGGGACGCCAATGCGTACCACTGGCAGTACCCAATGACGTTTGATTGCGCTTCGTCGCCGCTTCGAATCCAGTGCTCCGTGTATGCGCCCAACGCACGGGGCGAGGTATCTCCCAGTCTATTGTATTTTCGACTCTACGGCGCGCGATGATAGATGGTATGTGTCGGAGGTAGCCTTCCGATGACCGTGTCGCCTCCTCGAGCAACCGCGTCCGAGACCAAAACTGCCGTGGGCATTCCTCTTCAAATGCACTCGGCACCATACTCGCTCGTTCTTCGCGGTAGCGCAGCATTTTCTTGGCTAGCGCAAGATCAATGAATGGCTAGCTTCGCTCCGCATCTGGACGAGCGTCGAGACCTTTCGCAGCAAGCGCATCATGTGCACAAATCGAACGATTCTCAAGACGCACGCGTGGATGGGCGCAATCGCGAGGGGCCTCAGTCGCCACCCGATCTCGTCGGTTGTCGACACGGGTGGCATCTCTGGCGTCGTGGCGTCGCTCTTCCGAGACGGTGCTCCCGAGCCAAGGATACCAGAGCCTCGAATATTGGAACTCGCTGCCCTCGACCACAAGTCTGAGAAAGTCCCATTGAGCGTTGGTAGCCCGCCGCCGCTGGTCGCAACGCCGCGGGATGACATGCGTGATCAACTGCGAACGCTGTCGACGGAGCTGCGGTCCAAGCAGGCTACCATCGAAAAGGTATTTGTTTCATGGGTTTGATCAAGGACGCGACGCGTCGTAGCTGCACTTGGAGATGGACAAGCGAACGCAAGCACTGCGAACCTGTGGCATCGAAATCGTCGATCTTCGAGTCTTTGGCAGCTTGCGCACTGAACGTTACCTCATGATGCCTTGTAGAAAGCCCTGCAAAAGAGGACCAGCTACTGCAGACCCTTCAGGTCAAAATCAACAATTACGAAACCCTTGAGCAGCGCCAACAAGAGGTGCACAGAGAGTCGTGATGCGTGCTCACGTGTCTTCGATCTCTAGGAGCTGCAGTTATGCTTGGAAGGCGACCGCCTCACGACGAGCAACATGCCGTTGCTAGCACAGCACTACCGGAAGCTCCAATCCAAATACAACGACCTCGACCAAAGCCATCGCGACCTCACGCAAAAGCTTCTCTCGAGTCGAAATTTTGAAGCCGAGCTCTTGGCCGTCCAGGTACTTGCTTCATCGCTGGGTCGTCTGGACGCTGCGCTAGACCAAATACCGCGAAATGGAAGCTGCCCACGTCGCCCAAGCAGCGTACGTCCAGAAATCCCAGCGCGAGATGCAAAAAATCAGCGTATACAAGGTGACTCGATGACGAAAACCAGCAAAGGTTCATGGCGGCACTAGCAAACGATAAGTACGCAAGAGAGCGTCATTGCCAAGCTCGAGAAGCTCGTCGACGCCAAGCTTGGCGAAGCCAAGGCCAATTCGATTGGCCCAAATGTTCACGTACGCTAACTTATGCGTCGGGGCGCACTGACGCGCCTCGTGTAGGCAGAGATTTTTCGCCTGCGTCTCGAAAACGCCTTTTTGAAGGAGCAAGCCACGTACTAGAATGTTGCTGTCGTCGCGTCGAATTCCCATGTATGGTATTAGGTACCACATTGCGTCTGCCCGTGCCCACGAACCGGGGCTAGGCTCGGCTCGGACGATGGCGACCAAGCCGATGGTGCCTCCGTTGCGGCCACCTCGACAGGCCAACGGCGAGGCCTCTAGCGACAGGGACGAGCCCCCACCGACAAAGCTGTTTTTGCCGGCAATTGTGGCGCGCGCAGACAAAGCAGTCAACACGGAGACTCCAGCGGCACTGTCGAGCCCACGAACGGGCTCGACCGACGACAACAATGTGCTCGTGGTGCGGGTGCGGGTGCTGGAGGACCAACTGCGCGTGATCGCGACCAACGCCGCCCAAGAGAGAGATCGCGCAGCTCAAGGCAGCGCTCTTTGAACACGAAATGGGCGCCGTTTGGTAACTGACAATCTAAGATTGCCCTAGATTTGACATCCGTTATCCGGATATGAGTGTCATCCGGATACACGGTCGACCCCGAGCGTCGTCTTTTCGGTTCGTGGTCAAGATCGGTGGCATGTGGCGCAGCGTCCATCGCCTCCATGGCTTGACGTCCGCGCGGTCGCTCTCGACTGCGCCAGCGCTTGCTCTCCGCAGCGCTACGTTCATCCCGACGACGAAGGAGGTTCCGGCCGACGCAGCCATCCCCAGCCATCAGCTGCTGGTCCGCGCCGGCTTCATCCGCAAGACATCGAATGGCATCTACATGATGCTGCCGCTTGCTGGCCGGTCGCTCGCGAAGCTCGAAGCCATTATCGACACGCATATGCATGCAATCAAGTGCTCGAAGCTGAGTATGCCCTGCCTCCTCACGGCTGACCTCTGGCAGGAAACTGGTCGGTGGGAGTCGAGCGGTCCGGAGCTCTTCCGCGTGACGGATCGTCGCGACGTTGCCCATTGCCTCGGCCCGACGCACGAGGAGGTATTCACGTCGCTCGTCGCTTCGACCGTGTCGTCGCCCAAGCTTCTGCCATTGCGCTTGTACCAGATCGGCCGCAAGTACCGCGACGAGATCCGGCCGCGCTTCGGCCTCCTTCGCGCCAAGGAGTTTGTGATGAAGGACGCGTACACGTTCGACGTTGACCGCGCCGGTGCCGAGACGACGTACCACCTCATGGTGGACGCCTACCACAAGATCCTTGCGACGCTTCAGCTGCCAATCGCGCAGGTCGAAGCCGACACGGGCAACATTGGTGGCAGCCTCTCGCACGAGTTCCACGTGCTCTCGGGCTTTGGCGAAGACGCGCTCCTGTCGTGCTCGTCGTGCACGTACGCGGCCAACGTCGAGAAGGCGCGCGGTGTCTTGCCCGCGTCGAGCATCTCAGCCCCAATCGCGTCGCTGGGTGACCTCGTGGCGTCAACGCATGGATATGTCCCGACGCTCTACTTGGCCGAGAACAAGACGCAACTCGTTGTCGTCTTGACGCCGGAGGGTCGCGACGTGAACCCGCTTTCGCTCAAGGACCATATCGACGACGTCGATGGCCTTGTCCAAGTCAAGCCGGGTCATGTCGAGTGCGCGCTATCGCTGCCGTCGCCTCGCATCTTTGTCGACGCCGGCGTCGCACCGTCGGGCGGTCTCGCCGCCTTTCTCGCGGGCCAGAACGCCGTTTCCGGCCACTTTCGATTGGCCAAGGAGCACGACGGGTGTCCGTGTTGCGAGCACGGCAAGCTCGTCGAGAAACGGGGCATTGAAGTCGGGTACGAACGCCGGTTGATGTCATGTTTGACACTTGTGTGTTGCTAGACATGTGTTTTACCTTGGGCACAAGTACTCCAAGGCGCTCGGTGCGACGTACGTGGACACGCACGGAAAGGCGCAGAACATGGACATGGGCTGCTACGGCATGGGCGTCACGCGCCTCATGGCCGCGTCCGTCGAGAGCCTGCATGACAAGCACGGCATCGTGTGGCCGGACGCCATCGCGCCGTACAAGGCCGTCGTCATCGGTGTCGGCAAGGACACCGAGTCGACGGCGACGGCGGTCGCCACGGACCTCGCGGCCGCGCTGCCCGACGACGTTATGCTCGACGACCGGTGGGCCGAGCGCCCAGGCGTCAAGCTCACGGAGGCCGAGCTCATTGGGTACACATGGCGTATCGTGGTCGGAAGCGGTTCGCCACCGAGGGGCTCCTCGAAGTGCTGCACCGTCCCAGCATGAATGTGTCCTACGTAGCGCCGTCGGAGCTGCGGGCGCACGTCGGTGCCTGATGATGCAGCCGTTGCTCACGCTCGGCCCTGGACCAATATGCAGCCGTGTTGGCATCGACGCGACGGAGCACCGTGATCACGAAGCACCCACGCGTAGCAATAATCAAGAACTTCGTTTCTACTCGTTGAGGTACGGCTTCTGCCCAAGGCTTCTGCCGGTCGAACTGCCCAAACGGGTGTCTGTCACGCGCGCGATGTCGTGTGATCACACCGGCGGAAGACCCAGATGTGGCGCTGGACAGGATGATAGGACTGTATACCGGATCGTTGGAAAGCGCGTGCATTCTCAAGGTCCCCAGATATTCTGAAGCAACAGGCTTGTTCCTGAACCATGTACTAGATGCGGGTAGGAATCATCTTGTCAATCTGGAATCATCGTCTATTCGATTCTGGCCCGACGAACGGCTTCTTAAATAATCGAGCTACCACAGGAACGGAAAGCCTGGTAATGTACAGTGCGCGTCAAGTCTTCTACGGCGTGTTCACGAGGCGAAAGTGCTGCGTGCACATGCCTTGGCGCCGCGCCTTCTTGCCGCAGTGGGCCACATCGCAAGGGCGACCACCGCCATGCTTAATGCAGTAGCCGTTCCCACGGTCTTTGGCATTACACGACGGGTCCTTGCACGATCGCTTCCCGCCGTGGCGGTGGCAGAGACCGTTGCGCTGTGAGACGCGCTCGCAGGCCTCGACCGTGCAGTACTTGGACGGGCGCCAGCGTGGCTTGGTCGGCACCACTGCCGTCACCTCAACTGGGGCAATGCTGGGCTCGCACAAGAGGCTCTTGATTGACGGAAGTGCGAACGTCGTCGGCGCGGGACGCGTTTGCTCATAGGGCGGGGACGACACGAGGTGGTCGCGGAAGAGCATCGACGGCAGAAGCACCATGTCTCGCGGGTGCGCGGGCAGCGGTGCGGCGGCATAGTAGGGGGCCTCCGAGTAGTGGTGGTACATCATGATGCTGCGTTGGTCGTTTGGGCGCCAATCTCGAAATGCAATTTCGCAGTGGAAAGAAGATCGAAGCGAATATTACCCGCGCATCATCCCACTCTCATGGCGAAAGCAGCTGTTTTGTTATCATGAGTGCGCCGTACCACCTCGACACTACAGCTTTGTATGAAGTAGATCCGGGATGTAAACCAGATGGCGATAGGGCCATTGTTTACGTTGCAGAGTTGGCCCTTCTCCACGTCATCCTGGATGAGAAGATCCACGCCGTGGTACGGCGCTGCGGTAAGCCGCTGTCCGCAGATCACACTCTGCTACGGTCGATCGCTCGTCGCGAAGAGGAGAGGCTGTCGTCATGCAGCGAATTCATAGTGAATGAGGCGCTACTAGGCAATGTCGAGACGGTGCGAGAAACGTGGCCGCAGGTCTATTCTACAGCGGCCACTGGGACACCGGCTGCCGAACGCGGCGTCGGCGTTTAGTACACCAGAAAAAAGATCGCTTTTTCTCTGCGACACGTGGTGGAGACCCGGAATTTGATTCCTCCAGGACCGGCGCGGCGGTACTGTAAACTAAACGACGCGACGGCATTACGCGCTGCCAGACCTGTTTAGAGGACAACCATGGCGTCTGTACACCGTGTCTGTTGTTCGACGAGATCTTTGAATGGCCAAACAAAAGCTGTGCGAATGGCACTCTCCATGCCTCTTGCACACCGCTGCGATGTGGTGACAAGTCTCTTTGCAGCGCTAAATAATGCCGACGTGGTACGCCCACTTCAAGGATCCGATGCATCATCAGTTGCGATTAGTGCATCAGGTGCATTCTTGGGTGCAGCGTCGCCCTACGTCGCAAAACAGAGCAATCCGTGTTAAGAAGAAACATCGAATTTTGGTGCTTCACTCGCACCCGCATGGACAAGAAGCGGTGACGTCGAAGCTCGCAATGGCCATAAAACAAAGGCGCTCAGTGTTATGGAATAATGGGACACCGACCACAATGTATACCAGTATGTACTCGTTGCGACCATGACGTATTTGCTCGAGCAATCGCGGTATTGACTGTTTCAAGCAGCTCGACGACGCCGAGTCCATGTGATTGAAAGAAGCCATCAACGACGACGACGACGACGACGTACGTGTATACGTAGTCGATACGAGGAGCGAATGACGTACTAGATGGAGTGGCGCTCTACTGTCATGCAGTCACTTTGAACGGATGGGGATGGGCCGACGACGACGACGACGCGGGGCGCCGAGCCCTGCAGCTCGGACTGGAAAACGCGAATACCACGAAGCGACTGGGCTCTTGATTGCTCGACGTACGTTGGCACGTCGCAGCAGCACCGCGAACGAAGCCGAAAGACCTTGCGACGACGTTGGGTATGCTACACCGCAGTCATCTTTCTATTAGTGCTGGAACGAGCAGGAGATTGCAATGACATTTCCTGTCTCCTGGTGCTGGACATAACTTGCCGCTGCACGCAGTGCCAAGTTCGGGCAGCTAAATAGGCCCTCTTTGTGATTGCGGACAGATATGACATGTTGGCGACGTAAATTCGCTGGCTTTCCCCTCCAACGAGGCGTAGCATCATACAACGCTATATAGACCGAGTGGATAACAAAACAATCCATTTCTCTGCTTTAAATAAAGGTACGCTCATGCATCCTCCGGATCCATTAGCACGCGTCGTTGACCAGCACCATGCGGTGGTGCTGTGTGCACAGGCCTTGACGGCGAGCCTTCTTTGTGCATTGAGCGACATCACAGGGCCGGCCACCACCGTGCTTGATGCAGTAGCCGTTGCCGCGGTCCTTTGCGTTGCACGATGCATCCTTGCACGTGCGCTTTCCGCCGTGGCGGTGGCAGAGACCGTTGCGCTGTGAGACGCGCTCGCAGCCCTCGACCGTGCAGTACTTCGAGTGGCGCCAGCGCGGAGATCGTGTCGTCATTGGGCTAGGTGTCGTTGGGCCTGGAGTAGTCGGGTGCAAGAGGGCTTCAATACCGGGAAGGCGCGTCGGCGCTGGTGCGCAGAGCATAGAGGGCAGAAGGACAACGTTGAGAGGGCGGTGCCACAGTGGCGTTGTGGCCGGCATCAAGGCTGTTGTCATTCTCGTCTTGGATTGGTGGCAAGTTGGAAAGTGAGGCGAGCAAGCTGTGCACTGTCTACGATGGCCACACAGACGACGTGACACGCCACATGTTTCGTGCGACCTTCGAAGTGGTGGCAACATACCACCAGTGCGCTAATTAGGTCACCGTGCCCCCTCCGTCGTGGCGCCACGCGAGAATGGAGGCCAAGATACGGCGTTCCATCGTGGGATTGGTGCATTCAAGAATCAGCGCGCCAATCACGTACTATCTGGACTGAAAATCGGACTTGTCCGAATTGAGGGCGGTGGTAATGTCGACGCGGTAAGGCATGAGTAAACAGCGCGACGACAACGGCTCCATGTGCCAACATCGTCCCACGCTCGTCGATTCGGTTGCAGTAGCCTCCGACGACGATGACTCCACGCCGCCTCCTCTGCTTTACCCGTCGTCGCACCTACTAGTGCGCGGCGGGTACCAAACGTTCTTGATGATGGCACAGGCGACACGAATCGAACGGACGATCATTGTGTAGCATCATCGTTCGCACCACATCTCGCTCGCTGGGAATAGAATCGAGCACATTACCGCCGGAGCGGAGAGGAGATGCTAAGTTCTGGCGGTGCACTGCGTCAACAACAGACGTGTAAATGACTGCTAGTGGGTCCATACATTATTCGACGTTTGCCTATTACTGCATACTGTAGTTTGCCTGCGTCATGCATCACGGAAACGCGATGCTGGCCGGTGATCGTTGGTTCATTGGGGACGCGTACCCATGGTCGTTGGCTTGGATGATCTTGACCACATTGGTGCGCCCTGGTGCGCCCTCGACGAGCCCGTGCAAGACGACGACGATGTCCATGCTCGCGATCCAGCGTTGACGCTTGGCGTGCTCGATTGCAATGTCAATCAGGTCGTCCGTGCCGCTCATCGAAGCCACTTTGAGGCACGTGATGCCGCTAGTACGCCTTCATTCTCCCGCCCGATGAATCATTACACGTACCGAGAAAGGCCTGTGAGCTGGCGTGCGACGTACGGCTCGGCCGTCACCGCCAGGACGCGCGCTGCTGGACGGTACTTGGCGATGCATTTGGCTGTGTAGCCCGAGTCGGTAAGCGCCACGATGAGCTTGGCCTGGATGTCAATCGCCGTCTCGACGGCCGACGAAGCCATGGCTTCGCATATGCTAATGGGCTTGGGCGTCGCGTCGCGCAGGTTGGTGTACAGCGTCGGGTAGTGCAGTGAGCCTACGTCGGCTGTGGTGACATTGGATGTTGTTGATGCAAAAGGCTACCCTCTGCTTCGATGCAGATGCGCGCCATGGTCGTGACCGCTTCCACGGGATATTGGCCCTTGGCGGTTTCTCCAGAGAGCATGACACAGTCCGTGCCATCGAGGACAGCGTTGGCCACGTCAGTGCACTCAGCGCGGGACGGCGTCGGGCATTTCGTCATCGATTGGAGCATCTGCTTTGCGTTAGCGATTATAAGACGGGACCCGCACCTGCGTGGACGTCACGACAGGCTTGTTGGCGAGGTTGGCTTTGCGAATGATGAGTTTTTGCGCCATAAACACCTGCTCTGGGGCCAGCTCCATGCCGAGGTCGCCGCGGGAGACGTGGACGCCATCGGCTTCCGCGATGATTTCATCAATGTTACGTAGCGCCTCGAGGCTCTCGATCTTGGCGTGCACACGGATGTACTTGCCAGCTTCCCCAAGGCAGGCCCGGATCGCACTATGGACGACTCAGTGGTCTTCAAACCGAAATGCGCATACCGGACGTTGGCAGCAGACCGGACAAACGAACCAGAGACAATGTCAACGCGCTGTGGGATGGCAAATTCGCGTAGATCGTGCTCGTCCTTGGTCGTGATGCCAGGGATACGCAGCGCAGCCCCTACGTTGTCGTGAGACAACACGTTGCGCGTCAAGAGGTACCGGGCAGGTTCATATTTTTGCGCTCGTCGAGCACGTAGTTGTTTTGGACTTGCGTCACGACTTCGGTAGCGCTTTTGCAGGCCAGCACTTTGAGCGTGAGCCCACCGTCGTCGACGAGGATCGTGGACCCCGGTGACACGGACGTCGCGAGATGCGCGTAATTGCATCCGATGCGCGTCGCGTCGCCGTCCTGAAAAGACTCGTCGGCCACGAGCACGAGCTCCTGGCCCGAGACGAGATGCACGGGTATGTGGTCCTTCAAGGGTCCTACAGAATAGATGTTGATTCCGAGACAGGATTTCCGGCGATTACCTGTTCGGATCTCAGGGCCTTTGGTATCGAGGAGCACGGCACAGTGGCACCCGGGGCGCGTCTGCATCGCGTCGCGAAGATTGGACAGCGACCGTGCATGCAGTGCATGGTCGCCATGGGAGAAGTTGAAGCGTGCGACGTTCATGCCAGCGTCGAGCAGTCGCCCGAGCATCTCCGTGGACCAGCAGCTCGGGCCGATAGCGCATATAATCTTGGTTTGGCGAAAGCGTCCGAGCGTGTAGCTGCGGTCGAGGATCTGCGCCAGCGAGATGCCAACCTTGTAGACCTACACAGTGAGCGTGGATGAGGACGAGGCTGCGCTGCCAACGGCACGCACCGGCTTGTCGCCGTTGGTTTGGTTCTCATGCAGCTGCGACGACACGCTGCGCGGCCGGTGCTCCCAGCCCCCGCGGAGCGTGAGCCGATGGCGCGGCGACAAGGTCTGGTTCTCGCTGTGCATGCCTCAGGCTTCCAAATCTTTGCATGTTTCTTTTTCGTTGGAAAATAAATAAATTCCAACCAATCGCACAACAGCAGCGGTCACGGGGCGCGGGGCGCCACCACTGCGTGAACGTTCAACGAGCGATGGGCATACGTCGCAACGCACACGACGGTGGTAAGCGTGCGACGAGCCGCCGCTGATCCGCAGCGTACCGAGGCTGTCCCCTCGGCACGAGCCCAGAGCGGACTAAACCAACACGCTCTGGAGCAAAAGATATGGCCATCCAACAAGAATACCTGGAGTATCCTGGCGGCGGTCAGGTGCGCGAGGTCATGCTCCATCACGAACCTCGTGTTGCGGATGACGAACCTCGAATCTCGCCGACGCAGCTTCAAGGAGATGTAACGCGTCGTGGGCTCCTCGCATGTCCGTTAACGATCGCCTCCAACGACTTTGTCCGACGGGTGGTCGTCGATGGTGGACACCAAAGCATCCCCCTTGGGAGCCAACGCTGGAAGGGGCAAGTTCGTACTGCGTCGACGTATTGAACCTTTGCCATTGGCTTCTTCCTCCCAATCGTCGATGACGACAGAGCGCACGTGGTCGGACCAGATGGGCGTCCCCTGGTACCCGTCCCCAAACTTCAACTGATCCGTCGCGTTCGATGACCAGGTTTCCGCCATTGGCCTGGGCGCCTCTGTTCTTAGCGCTGTGGTGCGGTAAATGTCCAGGGAAGGATGGATCATAATAAATAGCACTAATGTTAAGATGGGCTAGCGAGCCTACACGACGAGTGGTCCGGCGGTCATTGCACCGGTGCTGTGTCGCCGGGGCCGCGTGGTCGGCGCAAGCACCATGTCTTTGCAGCTGCTGAGATGGCGGTGGTCGTCTTGGTGGGTATCGCAAGCAAGAGGCAGTTGGAAGTGGACGCGCTTGGTGGGTCTCGCTTTCCGTGCCTTTCGGAGGCTCGACTTGCCCGTGTGCGCCACCTTGACGACGATACGCGGCAGAATGTCAATGGCCGCTTCGTCGGTGTCGTCGTCCGTGGCGCACTCGTCACCGAGGGCAGGCTCAAGGCAGGCTTGGTACACGCCGTAGCTGAGGACTACGAGCGTCGGGATCAAGACAGAGTAGCGCGGGAGGATCATGCGAGGCGATGTGGCGGCGTCCGTGCAAAAGATAAACTAACGGCAACTTCGAAAGTCGGGTCTAGTATACACACAACGATCGACCAATGAAAAATTCGCATGGCACTGACACATCCCCAAAGCCACGCTGTGACGTGGCAGCGCCGTGTCGCAGCACCTCTACCGCCAACAGGAGGACTTGACGGCGTCGTGAAGGTTGAGCGATACCAATGCCGCTATAGTGTGGTTGCATATGAACCATGCTGCCATCCAGTATTCTACTAAAGGTGCCCGTATAGCGCATAGCATAGCAATGAGCGTGGACGCCCAGTCGTTTGGGGCAAGATATCGAAGGTAGGTGGTAGTTGCGCCAGAAATATGCTTGTCTTTGTCTTCGATTTCAGACAGTGTCTTTACCACGCGGGCGTACGGGCTGCGAAACATAGATGACCGTTGGGTCGTTCGGGTCCACATACGCCTTGCGCTGCTTCTCTGCAAACGCCTCGTCGACAAGCCCCGCTAGAACATGCGCTTGGACATCGATCACGGTGCAAGTACGAACGATGTACCATGCTTCTTGTGCTCCATGAGGCGAAGAAAGATGGGCAAGAACGTGCCTGTGCCACCGTTCGGGAACGAAACACGCCACTCGATCGGCGTCGCCACGTCCCCTTCGTCCGTGCCCACCTAGTTGCCTTGGCGTCTCAACGCTGTATGGTGTCGTGTTACCGGGAAGACGTCGCCAGAAATGTTGCACGAGCCAAACATTGGCTGGTTGAACTTGTCGTCCGCAATGTTATCCAGTGGGATTTCCTACGTTCGTGTTCAGGCACACATAGCACCACCAGCTAACGCGCTCACAAAGGCTTGAAAGAACCGACCGTGCTGCGTTGCGGCCTTGTCGGCGCAAAACACGAGTCGCTGAGTCGTTATGTAGATGCGACCGGAGGCCTTGAACTTATGTCTACTCCCGGCATCGCCACTGCGCGTGTACTGGGGATCGTACGCACCCGTCGACAAGGCACTGGAACGCGATCGACGGTCGCTCCAGAATGAACACTTCGTCCGTGTTGGCTAGGGGCAGTGCCTTGCCATTGTCACTGAAGAGCGTGGGCGCAAAGGACATGGTATGTGCGATGAAGTCGAGTAAATTTAGGCCTGCCGAAGGTTTCGCGCTCAGGCACAACGCACACCTCGTCGAAGTCTCGGCCCAGCGATGCAGTTCCACGGAGCAGGAATTGCAATTTGCGAGACTTCGACTTTGCGTGGGTGTTGAAGAGCCTTCTGCTCGAAATTAATGTACAGTTTGGTGCGAGGCAGTGGCGGTCGCTTGGGTCCAGGGTCGTCTCTTGGCCTCCAGAGAGATTTCCAGGAGTTGGATTCAATAATTTATGCTCTGTCTATCTAGCTTAGTAATTATTATAAGTGGCTGGATTTAGCCAATCAATCCACTTGGATTTTTAGAAACACTGCACAAAGCTGACAATGACGACGTGGGCTCATCGTGTCGGATTGGATTGCCTGCCTTGCTCTGCGATTGGTCGCATTTATAGCCAACCAGTTGACGCTATTCTACTGGTAGGTTGCCGCCACACGTGTTCCTCCAAGAAACGTCTGTACAAATTGTATAGACTTCAAATCACACCGTAGACTCGCGCTCATGGTGATAACGCTGGTGATAACGTACGGTGTGGCTCGCGGTGCCTTTCATCGAATGGCGGTGGTCTGGGCCGTGGTGCGTTGTTGAGAACGCTGCCGCGATGAAATCGACGTACCGGTACATTTGTACAACCAGGTGCTGCGTCTACTCTTTTTTTACGAATTGCGCGCTATAGTAGCAAACATATTGCTTCGACAACTCTGGAAGCATGCGCGAAGATTGTAAACAACTCTTGGTTTCTCCTCCATAGTAATACGTAGCGTGAAGTAATAGCGTTAAGCCTCTTATTAATCCTGGTAGGAACGTTTACGTGGTGTACCAGCATCCCAGGGGATTAATTCGGCGTGTCGTGTCTCAATCCGGCCAACCCATTGGCTATATATACGGCCATTTTGACCAATGAAACGCAGTTTCATTGGTCTAAGCCAATCATATCGCGCCAAATGTGTCCTTTTAAGTGCGAATTGGAAATTCCTGTTAAGTGCTGTCACATCGCCGGACGTTATACTTGATTAAAGTATAACAATTTCGATTAAGTACGACGGCGCACTTGACTGAAATTCACGCAACTTTCCGATTAGGTGCGAATGTGAAAGCGCGCGAGGACTGCAGCAAGCGACGCGCCGTCGTCGCAAATACCGGTTAACAACGCTTCGCATTCAAAAGTTCCTACCAGCTCACCCCGCACGGGACCTGTTAGTAGCGAGGACCGACCCCATAACGTCACTACGATCAGTACGTGCCCTCACAGTCTACGTACTGCGTCCGCATAATATCAATTGGATAATTGTAGATCGATACGTTGTTTGACCACCAAGAGCTGCCGTCATGGAGTGTTCCCGCTCACTTGAACGATGGCGACTTTGGCGCCAAATTGATCCTTTTAAAACACATTACCTATGATATACAATACATGATATACAGTATTACCTCTCTCTCGTCTGGTATTTACATTTACATTTGCGCTAGAAGAATATAGTGTGACACAAGATACTGTGAGCGCATGCCTTCCGAACCGGGAGCGCGCTGTAAACATCAAATCATCATATCGTGCGTTGTCTTCATGTATGCCCTTGATAGCACTACACGATTGCTTTGTTTCGTACGAAACACTTCAAGCAAGGCTCTATTGGAGCTTTTTGCAAGGCGCCGACGAGAGCTCTGGGCGTTTAATCATGTATAGTGTGACCAGAGGCGTGAAATAGCGTACGAATGTATCCAAACTCGATCACAACCAAGTGCTTCAGGCTTCGGGAAGGAACGAGATGCTGTCGCTTTCTCGCGCGCCTGCCATCGTGGCCCGCGCGCTCGTTCGCTACAAGAAGACAAAGGCTTCGCCGAGCGCCTCTGGTACACGCATACATGGAGGTCAACCTTAGGCGCTCACTGCAGCTTCTGCAGGCGACAAGGGCCAAGCGTTGCAGATGGCCATTCGCCAGATCGAGAGCAGCTTTGGCAAGGGCGCTGTGATGCAACTCGGCGCTAGGTACGTGCAGCCTCGTGGTCTCGTTAGCTCTATGCCGAACCTTGGCTAGTGGCGTCGCCCACGACATAGACGTCGTATCAACGGGTTCGCTCTCGTTGGACGTAGCACTTGGCATCGGCGGTCTGCCGCGCGGGTCTCTCATCATCGACGCTATAACCATAAGGAAGCTCACTACTGTATGAAATAGGCGGGTGATTGAGGTGTATGGTCCGGAGAGTTCGGGCAAGACGACGCTTGCCCTCCACTGCATCGCCGAAGCCCAAAAGAACGTAGGACGACGCTCAATCCGCTGTACGTGAGTCTGAACGGTGCATTGATTGTTTAGGGTGGAACTTGCGCGTTCATTGACGCCGAGCATGCAATCGACGGCCACTATGCCAAGGCTCTAGGTACGTAAAATGACGAAACAATTAGCGCACACCCCTTGATTAGGCGTCAACATTGACGAGCTTTATGTGTCGCAGCCCGACTCTGGCGAACAAGCGCTCGAAATTGCCGACACGTTGATTCGGTCCGGAGCCATCGACGTGGTTGTCGTTGACAGTGTCGCTGCGCTCGTGCCGCGCGCCGAGCTCGAGGGCGAAATGGGCGACCAGCAGATCGCGCTGCAGGCACGTCTCATGAGCCAGGTAGGACGTGTTCCAACAGTGAGTTCTGTGCTCCATTGGCACGTGCAGGCGCTGCGCAAGCTCACAGGGTCTCTCTCCAAGTCGAACTGCATGATCATATTCCTCAACCAGATCCGCCAAAAGGTTGCAACAATTTCTTTAATCGCAACCTTTACGTAGCTCTCTCTTAGGTTGGTATCATTTTTGGGTCCCCTGAAGTCACGTCCGGCGGCACGGCGTTGCGCTACTATGCATCGAGTACTCTATGCTAGACTGCGTCGAGCTCGAGCTCACCGGGCCGTAGTTCGTCTCGATATTCGCCGCAAGACCCAAATCAAGGAAGGCGAAAACGTATGTTGTGCTCTCCTTTCTCTGCAGTCATCAATGTTGGCACACCAGATCATTGGCAATGAGACCGTCGTCAAGGTGGCCAAGAACAAGCTCGCGCCGCCCTTTAAAGTCGCCAACTTTGACGTAATTTACGGCAAAGGCATCGACCGCATGTCCGAGATCGTACGTTTCTCATTCATCAGATACTACACACCAAGACGGATGCTTTTAGCTCGACCTCGGCACGCAGGTTGGCGCCATGAAGCGGTCCGGCTCGTGGTATGCCTACAACGACGGTACTCAATAACTGCGCGCTATGAAGGTTCCATCTCCTGTATGACTAGAGCCAATTGGGCAAGGACGCAGCAAGGTTTTTTGACGTGGCGCAGTCGGTTTTGACTCAACCGCTTTCATGACGTAGGCCAAGCAGTTCCTTGAGGCGCACCCAGACATTGCGCGGACGATCGAGGCTCAGATTCGCGCTGCGCTCTTGACGCGCGACGCCCCACCAGAGCCTTCGCCAGTGCCTGTGGAACCAACGCCTGGTATCGACGTCGATGGGGTTGACATCCACGCCATTATGGCCGAGGTACACGACATGGAGAAAACCGTGCACATCGAGGAGGACACCACCACGACAACCCGATAATGAGTGCGCTGGTCAACCGCTTAAGACTAGATCATACAGATGGCGGTGTCTTAGATATTTGTTACTTAGTTTTGCTCGTCCTGGATCCCTTGTTCCGTGATCGAGTACATGGCTTCGGCCTCGGGGAGGATCGGCGAGTCGATCACCTTCATGACCCGGTTTTCGCCACGAGCCTTCTTGAGACGCAGCCTACGTCGTTGGATTTGAGGGACGGCGCGCTCGCGACGGACGATATTCTACCGCGTGCACGAGGCGTGCGCCATGATGTTGCCGCCAATCGGCTGCAGCGGATCCTTCGAAAACATGCCCGAGTCCGGGTTCGCTGTCATCTACGACGTGTGAGTGACTGCGCCGGGCCACCACTGTGTGTCGTGTACCTGGTTGGTGATGACGACTGCGACACCAAACTCGTCTGCCATACGTGTGAGGGCTCGAAGAAACCTACAAAAAGTCAATGCGCCTGGTCGATAAAAATACGTCCAAGTACTTGGCCAATTCTTGCTGACGAGCAGCCAGCTCGCCCCGTCCCGAATAGTCGGTGCGGAAGAGTGCAGTGGCACTATCAACGACCACGAGCGCGTATCGCGATTCTGCCATCATCGCGGATGCTTGCGAAAGGAGTTGCATCTGGTGCTCCGAATTGTACGCACGGGCGAACGCGACGTTGTCAAGGACGCTGTCGCCTAGGATTTTGATCGACGTGATGAGTACTCGACATCATACAGTAGATCGTGCGTCGAGCAAGTACCGTCGAGGCCGTAGCGTTCGGCGATCGCGACTAGGCGCTGCGGCCGGAACGTTCCTTCGGTGTCAATGTACAAGGCTTTTCCTTCACCTCCACCCTTGTCGACGGGAAGTTGGCAAGTGACGCACAATTGATGGCAAAGCTGCGTCTTCCCAGTGCGGAACTCGCCGAACATTTCGGTGATGGAGCCTGTCTCGAAGCCTCCGCGGAGCAGTTCATCGAGCGCTGTTGAGCCCGTCGTGAGGGTGATAAGGTCCTTACGACTTTGGAGCACGTCGGAGGCCTAGCACGCCATAAAGGTCAGGGCATGCCATGGATCGCATGGGACCCACCGTCGTAAAGCCCACGTTGACCATCTCACGAGACGCCTTTATCATCTTGTCAGCCTTGGCTTCAGTGATACCCTTGATCGCGATGAGCTGCTTCTTGGTGGCCATCGCAATCGCGTCGACCGTGTGGAAGCCGGCGTCCTTCAGCTTGTTGATATCCGAGGTATTGATCCCCGACTGCTCGAGCGCATTGATCCCACATGGGCCCTGGATCTGTGCTTGGCCCATGTCTTCCTCGGCCATCTCGGCATCGTGCTCGTAGTGCGCTCCTTGCATCATGCCACTCATGCTGGGCGAGTTAGCTTGAAGATGGCGAATGTTGGCAACTGAGGACGCAAATACCCGTCAAGCCATATTATTATTATTCGAGCTTATTTTAATTCTATCTGCTTAAAAAATAGCGCGGCAATGTATCGGAACTTGGGCGTTCCCGCCCCCACTTGCGATTAAAAATTGCAGACCCAAACGCGTTCCCGCCAATTGTATACTTTAACCCAACGTTATAGGTCAAACAGGATTTACACTCGGCGCTGGGTTTCACACATTAAGGGACGCTACAAAGCCCCAGTGAAGGAGCCGCCGGTAAGAGCAAACCCAAGGTTCAATACCTCAGCATGCGCACTGTGCGTCGCATTCTCACAAGCACCCTAACTCACACTGGGTGATTCAGCATCGTCCTTGAAGACCGCTGAGTGAAGGTCTCGCTGTCA